TATATTCAATTATAACTGAAGGAATCCACATTTTGAAAAAAAAAAAAAGTCCTAAAAATTTGTCATCACTTGATATTAATTTTTATAATTGAGAAATATTTTGAAATTTACATCAACAGTACCAACAAGCTTCAGAGAGTCATGGCAGGCATTGAAGGGAATTACCAGTTCAGTCACCTTCTGTGCTCTGCTTTTTCTTTTGCCTATGTTAGGTATGTTAGGTATTTGTATATTTTTTTATATATATTTTAAATACATTGGGTTTCTTTTTTTTTTTTTAAGAATAGTAAACCACACACTATATAAAAGAAGACTAGAAGCTGAAGGAAGCAAAATATTATTGAGTCATTAAGGGTTTTTAAGAATACAGCAGCGAAAGGGGACGATTAAGTTAATGTGTCAGCTTGCAAATTACTTCAGTTTCACAGGACCTGCTGACAAAAATGTCCACCCCACAAGAGCTACTGGATCAAGTTTCACCTTCTGTTGCAGTAGGGCAAAACAAGGAGCAACTCCTTGGTTTCAGTACATAAATAAGCGGGAAGAACAGGACAAAATCAGGCCTACTAACTATAATATTTAGTTCATTTAGATATCAAGTAGACCACCTGGGTAGATAAACTCCAGCTAAGCAGAATAGCGTTGGCTGTGTGCAAAAATAATAGGGGAAAACCAGAATTAATGACTGAAGCAGGCTGCTGGCAGAAGGAGCATGTGACCATTTACAAACACAGAGGTTCACCACATGACATGCCCAAGTTGTACATTCAATTACATGGCTAACTGTCTAAATATATGTGTTTACTCTATGTATGAAAACAAATGTTACAGATAAAAATACAGAATTAGGTACATACTCACAAACACACGCACGGTATATCAAAATAATGTCCACAATTTTATACTACACACTAGAAACATAAACTCTGTATTTATTGTCTAGGCTAGTAAGCTTTCTTTTTTGAAGGACAATTAATGCCTTCTGGGATCAGTGTAATAAAAATAAGCATGCACACAACCAAGCACTTCAATAGAAGAAAAGAGGGTCTTAATGACAACAGGTGGAGCAAAACAGGTATTACTCAAATACTTGTTGATAGGATTCAAGAGTGCTCAAGGCCATCTGATGCCTAGGGCCACAGGAGAAATCAGCGGAGACCTAACCTAGCTAATTGTCTGTCTTGATTGTGATGGTTCTGATTAAAAGAATAATCAGCTCTCAGCAGCCCTTAGGCAAAAACGCCAACCGAGGGCGCTTTTTTTTGTTTGTTTGATGATGATGCACTGCAGAATAAATGCCAGATCACATCATTAAACAACCCTTCCAAATATTAAAGGGGTTCCTATATGAACAAAGCCAATAATTCCCTTTGTAATTAGCTTGAACATTCTCCTTCTGTCATTTTGAGATTGCACTCATATAGACTAAAAAAATGCTGATCTCCAGGTTTTCTTGGATATGGAGAACCAGTCACACTTTGTGACTGAAAAATAAGAGCTGTGAAATTCCAGCAGTCCTTGGATCAGCAAAAGGTTATCTAATGTTATAACTAAATTATTAAGAGCTGGCTGCATATGACACAAATAATTTTGAATTCTTTTTTAGCAGTGTTTTGACTGATTTTATCTAAATATGTCCATTCACAATAAAACACACATTTTCTTTTCTGTAATTGACTACATCATCTCTCCTGGATTTTTCAGTACGTGATTTACATTCCCAGTCACTAGGAAAACTTCAAGCCAGGCATATTCAAAACAGATTTCATACTATGTTTTCTTGGTACTGCTTTCTTCTGTATTCTGAGACTTTTGTTTTCCTACTACAATAATCTCATCCTTCCATTAGTTGCTTGCTGCTGTAAAAAAAGTGACTGTTCATTTGAATGCAGAGTAATGTGTATTGACAATTACATTCCCAGGCTACTAATGTTAAGAAGCACATCTTGCCACCATTTTTGCACCATAGTAGATTAGCTGATTTAATAACTTCCAGTACTGTTAAGCATATCACACACAAAAGCTTAAAAGCAAAGGAACAAAGGAGCTCAAAACAGTTTTTCATAACGATCTAGCTATCATTCACATAGAAGGAAAGGCTTAAGAGCAGCTTTCAGTGCTTAAGTTATGCAAGATCTAGGCATCCTTCCACATAGCTGACTGAAAAAGCAGACCAAAAGGATGTCTTCAAAAGAATTATCTACAATGTGATACCAGCCATTTCATAAGGGAAAGTGAAGTCTGAAACAACTGATATTTCACATCCTCCCTTTAAGAATATCCACATTAATAAAATTAAATACCTCACTGACAACAAGGTATAAAGGTCTGAACAGCAAAAAAAATTAAAATCAACAGTCACTAAGTATGCATGGCACCTGAATGTAATTACATGTATGGGAATCCTGACAGGAGCGATTTCTCCTGTGTCCATATTGAGCTATTTGTCTTCCAGAAAGTTCAACGAAAGAATGTGTCAAACTGTCTATTAAAGGGACAACCAAAATATGCAATAAACACATCCATATTTTAGCCTCTGACCCTTGAAAGCTGGCACATTTTTTACATTCTTCTTGTCAGGATAAGCAAGAATCAGCCAGCTGTGCGTATCTGCGCCCAGACCTGCTCACACTGCTAACAGGTCTTGTCCGGGGAGAGATGTGCAGGACCCTTACATTTACAGCTGTCAAGTGTGGTGCCAGAAATCATTTAACCAAAGAAGGAATGAGTAAATGTGTGAAAGAGCTTATTTCAGACCTAGTTTATAGATCCCCTACGTGTCAGGAGACCATATGTCTTTGCCAAATAGAAATTTTCTTGAAACAATAACCATCCCCTGCTCTCAGAATGCTGTGCAAGTACTGAAAGAGAAAATGTTTTTTTCCCAACCCCAACTCCCTCCATTCAAATAAATGTCGACTGACAAAAGATCAGTTGTCTCTCCTCAGTGTTGTAGTTGAGGCTCAGAGTATTCGAGAAACAGAAACTTTTTCAGATGGCTCAGTGTGAGCTGCTTGTTTCACCAAGACTGCTAATGAACTGTAAAACCAACATTTTGCTTCAGTTAACATCGGCTTCCCAGTTCCCATAATAGATGACTACAATGACTTACTGAAGCAGAACCTCCAGTTTTGAGTCTTCAGTATGTAGATTTCACCTGCATCATTTGGTTTGCTAGTAGGATTTTCTGTCCATTTTTAATACATATATACACATGCACCTCCTATACCTTACCTTGGTAAACATACATATATTACTCTAACTGCTCTTCTGATACGAAATCCAGTAAGGCACTTGACAATATTGTAATTAGAACCAATAGCTAAGCAAATCAACTTTTGATTGCACTGCTTTTTTCATTTATTAACTTTGTTGATGCCTGATGGTCTACACTGATGTGACTGACAGTAGAGTTAAGGGCACTGCCTACGCTCCTGCAAAGCCTGGCCACTGCCCGAATCCAAGCCAGCTCAGGATCTTGTTCCTCTGTCTATCACTCAGCTCGCAATCTGCACAGAGATACTGGTGGACCTCTTCCACAAAAGTGTTTGTAGCCCTCTCCTCAACTCCAAAAACTGGTCTCTGGGCTAAAGGCTTCCCCGAACCCCTAAAATCAATGTACAGTAGTAGGACTACACAGCAATACTACAGACCGCAGAAGAGCCAGCTGCTCTCCGAACTGCCATGGAGCCAAGAAGGGTTTGTCTGAACAAGTAGAGCATGAAGTTGCACTACTTTCAAGGTTCATAACAGTAGCAACATGTGATTAACGCCTGCTTCAGCTAAAAGACACATGCCAGACTTTTCAGTACCCATTAAGATTGCAAAAAATTCAAACTACATAGAGTAAAAATGTCAGTGCGAACAAATGTTCCTACGACCTTAACCAAACCACTGATGACTCAAAAGCAGCCTCATAAAAAAGTCGGTATGGAAGAGTTGCCCTCATCACTGACTTACTACAACTTCAGGAAATAACTTAGGTTTTTGCACTGTAAATCCCCCCTGTCAGTAAGCCGTAGATTTACATCACCGATAAACGTTCTGCAGAGATGGTGTGGATTGGGCCACCAGGGTTACATCTAGCATCTGAGAAACCACTCTCATTTTTGTTTCCAGCCTGCTCTGAAGGATTTTGCAGGTCAGCATCAAACATTTTTATTGACACTCCATCAGCAGAATACCCGTGTAGAGTCCTTCTATTCCACTATTTGCAGCTAGAGGCTGTAAGATACTGTGTCCTCATCTTAGGATGGAGACAATAGTTCCACAGTTTTCTCTGGTTTGGTCTAAAGCTTTGACAACTCAAGTCTGTTTTATTTTCCATCCAGATGGCATTCTCCAGAGCAGAGATCATTTGACTTAAACAGAGCTCCCACAGAAGTAAATGTAGGTAAGTGATAGAGGACAGCTTTTGAGGCTCTGCCCCTCTAATTTACCAACTGACAAAATGCAAAGAAGCCCTTCCCCACTCTACAGACTTCTTATCAGGAACTTGAACACTGCACCTCCCAGCCACTTAGCAGCTGACTACATATTACTCTGAGACCCATCAGCTGATGAGCAGAGAGTGTCACAGCACCATGATGAGATTGTTACTGCATTACCCTGTTTTCTCCTGCAAAGAAGTGAATTTTTGCAGGATTTTAACATAAAGGAGGAGCTTATCATGGTATTTTGAGACACGGGAAGAGCAGGATGCAATAATAAATACATAAAGTTAGACCCTACCATAACTATGCACATTATTTCCTTAATATTACTAATTTTTGTCCATTATGGTCATGGCCCGCAATAAAAAGGTGCGTAGATAGCCTTCACGAGAGAAGAGAAGATACGGAGCAGTAAATTAGGGATCTGAACAGGTTTCCTTTATTCTGTCTTATCTCAGGTTTTCCTTGGTAAAATCAGCAGTATTTCACTGCTGTGGAAAAATAACCACTGATGACTGAATCATTTGGCCACATAAATATCTAATTAGGAAGATGAGATGGCAGTACCTCCAACTTTCAGATTTTCTGCTATTCCTGCAATTTCAACACCCAGTTTTGTTTTCTGCAATGAATTTTGAGCAGCTGCACGGGCAGGAGACTTGCCAACACCAGGAGTAGCTTCTGCCACGTGATCTTCACCCAAATCTCTTAATATAGTCAGAAAATATAGGGGCTTACACAGGACCATTTCCTCGCTGTCACCATAGGAATCAGCTGGAAGGAACTAACTGTAGTGTGTAGGATGAATAAACATGGAAGCATTACTGCTGTGCAAGTAACTTTTGGTTTTGGGACATGCCAAAAGCTTAACTCTTATAATTCAGTTAACATTTCTTTAAAAAAAAAATTTTTTAATGCCAAAATGATGTTTCACATTTTGCAACTGCTTTCCCTAAAACCACTCAATGAATTGAACACGAATTTATGAATACCTTTAGTCTACCTGAGTCTCATTTTTAACGATTATTTTCATGCAAAGAAAAACAGCTAAAAAATAGAACTCAATAAAATGCACAATTTGATTTTCTTCCTCTCTCAATAAATTCTAAACAGACGCCTCAGGAGCCAAACATAACAGAAGTCAGCTCCTTTCAGAACAGGCGAACTCTCCTCATACAAGTGGAGAATGTGGGTGAGTATTTAATATGAGAAATAACAAAACAGTATCGAGGATCCATATTAGTGGGTGATCATAATACATAAAAGGAGCAATGAGAAGTTGGAGCATAAGATTATGTTAATAGAGGACTAGAACTTGCTGTGGCAGAGATCAGTTTCAGGTGGCCAATGGCTCAATGGTCAAACATCGTCCAAAGCGACCTCCTCCTCCTTCTCTTTCTCTATGCCTGCACTGTGTTTCACTCCAGAGGTGATGCCTGGGGCTGACCTCTACTCCAGCTGCCTTCCTGCTTCATGGCTTGGTCCCCCTCCAGAGCCCAGCACATAACGTCCCTCTTCCACTCCGGTCGCACCCCCGGCTGTGGCCGTGGCCGTGGCATGATGGCTGGGATCCAGTGGGGAGAACAGCTCTGCGTGGTGGGCAGCATGAGTCGCAGGGCAATCCTTGCTGCCCCCCTGCAGACCAGACTTGCTTGCCAAATGCACATCACTGGGGATCCACGGCACTTGGCAGTTGGCCTAGAAACCTGGCTGGAAGAGTTTATGTTCTTTTTAACCTATTTTTAAACTATGATTTTATTTTGTTTTCAATAACTGCATAAAGTTTTGTTTAGGCACTTTACAGCCCCGCTGCAACACTGTAAAGTCTCAAGAGTGAACAGTGATGAAATGCCTCAGGGAGCTAGTTTGCAGAATATGAGGAGGTAACATTGGCTTTGTAATTTAATTCCCAGTGCATTTACCGCAGCTGAGAATTAGAAACAAAATCAAACTAAGTTTCAGAAAGCAATTTTCATCAGGCAGTGAGGGAAAAAAAGAAAAAAAATTTGTCTTTTTAATGAAGGACAGTGAAGCCCACTCCAGAGGAGAAATGCCTTAGCTCCAAACATCAGAGACGTGGGTGACAACTGGCAGTGAAGAACTATATCAGAATTTGCACTCAGTGGATAAGTTTATAGCATCAGCTGCCAAAGGTCAATGAGTGTGCCTGCGTACTTTACAAGGAAAGGGAACAAGGGACAAGGCAGAGAGGAACAGTAACTGCACTGCATCCAACTGCACTCACATAACCGCAGAAGTCATTCCGATATCCTTTTCTGATTGACTTCACATCCTGTCCTTTCAGGTTGTCATCTTACTTAAAACTCATGAAAAAAATGCTTCTGAGATAAATCAGGGAACAGAGCTGGACAGTAAGAGTATGAAATTATCACAGAGCACACATTCCCCAATTCCTAAACACGTGCAATACACCAGCAAGTGACCCTTTCTAGATTTCTTTTTCTTATTTACTAAGTTTGTAACAACTTATTACTCCTTCATTCATACTATGATCTGCATCTCAGCAACACAAGAAATACCCTGTGCTTCGTTTTATACTATCCTGGGCTCTGGCAAGACTGGCCCGCCAAGTCAATGCCTTTGAACAGAATTATATCCAATAAGCAATTACAGTTAGGCATGGCCCTTTTCTGCCAGTCAGACAAGATAGACCTTTCCTTTTTTTTAACTTTCTGCCTGTTACAATGTAAAAGGATTGATTTATAAAGAAGTAAGAGTGTATCTGCTTTTTGACTTAGCATCTGCTTCGTACATATTGATAAGATAAAGGAAAAACTGAAAGTGGATGAAAGAAGGACCTACTGCCACAAAGAAAGAGGTTGTGGATTCCAGCCATTTTTTGCTCTGTCTTCTACTATTGCCAGCCGACTATTTCTGCTCATAAGAGAGCGCAAACTATCCATAAATGCAAAATGGATACAGCACAAATTGATTTGGTAACATCGCACAGACATATTGTATGAATGATGAAGTTCAGTTGCAGCCTGGCACACAGAAAGGTTATCAGCATTAACTGATTTTTTGAAAAGTTGACTAAGTAACATATAATTCACTAAAGGAAAAATATAAAAAATAACATCTACCCTTGATATAACTTTCCTTCGCATTTTTAAGAAATTATTTGTGGGGAAAAATAGTATTTAAAGTTACTCTGAATCATATTCCCCTTACAATTAACTCTGATAACTTCAAATGAAAAACTGAGACCACCTTGCCCACGTAATCTTTATTACCAGCTAAATTCAAGTTCTTCTGAAAGAGCTTGCTCATTGGGGTGAAACACTCCAGAAAAAGCAGCAGCTCCATCTGAATATCTTCAGTCTTTAATTTCCAGTTATCTGGATCCTTCACAGATATTTCTAAACTCAGACAAGGTCATTACCCAAAATGAGAACAGTAAGCAACATTATTTCATTCTGACCAATTCACAGGCTATGCACACTGGACACCAATTTATTCTCAGTCAAGGATGTAGTCCTTTTACTTGCTCACAGACAGTATTTTCCTCTAATCATTTAAGCTATTCAGTGTAATTGGGCGAATACTGTCATCTCTGAATTACCTAAGGTAAGAGGTAAGCAAGTACTGTGGGTAATAAAAAAGCCTGGGTAACATACCACAGGACATTTTACTTCAATATATTCACTTGGGTTCTTAAAATCCCGCTAGCTATGCATTGTCAGCCCCACACTGGCTTTAGAGGCACTCAGTGGACATTACATCAATCTCTTGGGTGTTAGACACATTAGATAGACTTGAATGCAGGACAAGAGTCTTTTTGCTAGCTTTCTGCCACAGAAATACTGTCCCCTTGGTAGTTCATGCTTGGAAGTACCGCCTAGCCTCTCTTCCTCTCCACTCCAGAAGGAAACCTCCAACCCAATGGGGTGATGACGGCCCAGGGTAGCACAGCTCCTGATCAGCCTCCGCACCCTGCAGCCCAGCACAGCTCTCCCGCTGCCATGCACAGCTCATGGAATTGCACCAGGTAACTGGCTTGACTCTGACCCACCCAGCTTCAATACCCGGAGAGTCGGTTCCCTCATTCACCCCCTGCACCAGTCGGAGATTTCCAGAAAGGAGGGGACATCCCAGGACCATGTCAGCTACTTCTGGCTAGGTTAGGTGGCCATGCCTGCATCCAGGCAATCCACATTTACCCCTCACTCATCATCCCATTGTATTAGCTGCCACTTAGCTGGAAAATGTAGTTCCAATGAAAGGTGTAGTAAGTGATGATGGAATCAAGGCTGCCTTCTTATGCAGAAGACCACAGCAATAATCAATTTAAAGCACAATAAACAAATACAGCAATAAGCTGATTAACTGATTTAATCAAGCTGATTTGTAAAAAAGTCAATTGTCTAATACAGGCAATACCTTTAAATAACCATCTAACTTTTGCAATGGCTACTGCAATACTGTAGACTCAAACAGAGTTCTGAATTCCTCATCAAATACTTTTAGAGGTTTGCAAAGGAAGGCTTGAAAGGAAGAAGGAACTTATTGCTTCAGGCTACAGAAATTCCAGTGTGTCCTACGCACTGTAACCTCTTGATCAATTATTTCCTGTAACTTTTCAAGATGTTTTTTTTCAGGTTTGCCTTGATATGCCTTGGGTGTATCAGGTGATCAATGACACTACAATAATTGTACCTCATGCCGAAGATCTTAACTGCATGTAGTTATTTGACAGACTAAGACACAAGCATTTTAGATGCACTTAAGCTTTTGGCCAAAGCACCAAGGCTTGCACTGAAGAATGCAGCAAATAAATAGAAAACCAAACATCTGCTCCACTGCCGAGTTGGTGTTCGTACTGTAAATTCAATTGCAAACTTTGTTCCAAGCAAGCCACCCACAATGCTGCATAAGAGACAACAATTTAATACAGAAGGTCTGAACCTGTTTCCATTAATGTCACTGGGAATTCTATCGCTATCTTAAATAAGATTCCACAAAACCTCTGGTTTTGGCTGCACAATTAAAAAACAAACAAACAAATAAACAAAAAAACCACCCCCCCCACACCCCCCACACCCCCCCCAACAGCACCTGGGTAGCTAGAATTTTGCTTGTGATTTTCTGATGAGTCTTTTAAAGCTCTGTTTTCTTGCACGTTTTGAGTAGCCTCTGGTCACTTTACAAAATGGAAAAACTTTTATCTTTCCACTAAGGCAGCTTCAAGGAAAGGAAAACAGAAAACCAACATAACCCAAGAATTTCATTCAAAACAGCTGGACACTAACTCTGTGCCTACAAAGAAAATAGAGTTTTTTTAACAAATACAAGGAAGTATTCACATTGAAGTGCTTCCCTTAAGGAGTGATCCTCTTTCTGCATCTTTGAGATTTGTTGTTTTTAACTATATGACCTTTCTCTGAACAATCCCAAAAGGCTCTTCCCAGCCAAAAATTAGAGAAATAGATCAAATACCTCTTAAATCACTCAATAGTAAGGAAATAGATTAAGCTAAAACTATGTTTTCTAACAAAGCATTCAGAAATAAAATTACTTGGGCTTAACACTGCAGACAGTATAAGAATGTAATACTGATATAAAATGAAACTGTAACCAATGGAATTACTAGATCTAGAGTATATGGTTGGGAAAACTCTTGGCAGAATTGATCTATGAATGATATAGCTGGACATATTTCCCCACACAACAGCTGAATATTATGTTTTACATAGTTTTAAATAAATCCACAAGGGAAGAGGGAGGGAA